TCCATTTCATTAAATTAATTGTTTAACTCAAAAAAATGGTAATAAAAGTTGTCTCAGAGGAGGCAAAGAGAGGAAAAAGAAGGATGAATGAAGAAGATTCAGGAAAGACGATGTTGGAGGAAAAAGATGAGGGTAAAATTATCATTTTGGTGGGTTACATGGCATGCATATAACCTATTATGTTGCCATATCATCATTTTAATCTAACGTCTCTAAAATTTTTGTCATGTCATTAACTCACTGTGAGTTAATGATGGATATTTAACGGAAGAACCAAATCGAGGTCAAAATAGTAAATAATAGAGATCAAATCAGAGATTTTTTTAATTTATGGACCAAATCAAAAATTTACACAATAATTTAGAAACCAAAATAAGATTTTAACCTTTTATTTTTATTAAATCTCGAAATCTATTCATTTTTTGGCTTGCAGTGGGATTATGCGCCATTAGGAGAGTGGGGGAAATCTTACATCTCAACTGTAGCAACCGAATTTAGATAATGTTCGTTCGATCACAAATTGAAACACACCACGTGTGCGTTTTCTCGAACCTGCTTTTGTTGTGCCCATTCCCACTTCCGGCTACAGGAAGCTGCTCTTCTCCCGAGGCAAAGGCCACGTGTTACTTGCCTTTCGGCAGTGCTGGACATGTTCCCTTTTTTGGTTGGTACAAACGTGGGCCCATCATAAACGCTCATTTCAATCACAACAAATAATACGAACGCACTTTTCACCCGGGGCCCGCCCCTTAATTTTTTCGCCCAATCAAATCCCTCCACTGTTTCAATGTTTGCCCTAGACAAGTGTTGATTATTTTCTGAGAAAGAAAAGAGTGTGAATATTTTTGGAAGAGAAAGAAAAGAGGTGAGAGAGAAAAAAGTTTTTAGCTCGCCGACGGTGGTTTAGGTGGTGGTGGCGCCGAGGCGGAGGTCTTGCTCGTTGTGGCGACATGGATGTTGGAGAGAGGTGGCAGTGGATGTTAAGATGCGGAGGTGTTGCACAGGATAAGACGGTGATCAACCGGATAATGCTCAGGTTCCGGCCGATAGCACCGAAACCTGCCGGAGACTCAGGATCAGGTGGGTCCTTTGTTGATAACAAGAATTCTTTGCTTTATCGGGCTAGATCTAAAAGAAAGTATGTTAGGGTTCGCAAAAATACGGGACACAAGCGAAAGAAAAGAGCATCATCGTTGACAGAAGAAAAAGTGATAGCTACTTTACAGTTATTACCGGAGGAAAATGAATCAAATGCTCAGGCGAACAATCTTAATCATCCGGTTAATACTAACATTAATGCAGAAGGTGCAGTAATTTCAGAACGCATTAATTATCTAGCTCTACCGTGGGTAAACAATCACAACCGTGTGATTGATAACACGTGTAATGGTCAGGGTTCGGATCTTACGGTGATGGTAAAGAGGGAGATTGTAGAGTCGTGGGTGACGGTGGAGTGCGTGACAGACATTACATGCATGGAAGCGAGAGCAATGGGCCGTACGGATGTGGAGAGGATGAAGAATCTGGAGGGGGACTCGTGTCCCGGGTTCATATCTGACAGTTTAAACAGGGTGCAGTGGGTGAATGTAGCATACAGGAGGATGCTTTCGGTGAGGGAAGGAAATGACGGTCAGTCACCGGAGATGAGGGTTTGGTTGGTGGTGAAAGAGAATCTGCCATGCTTATGCCCAGCGTTTTCATGCAGGGTGAGAGTGCAGTATACGTGGCAGAAAGAGAAGTGGTCAAGAACAGTTCCATGTGATGTTTGGAGGATGGACAGTGGGGAGTTTGCATGGCGGCTGGACGTGGAAGCTGCACTCACTTTGGGACGTTAAAATACTCCCAGAAGAAGATCGAAACCCGGAATTAGAATGATCAGGTATTATGGACAATTTTTTTCTTATTTAAAGTGCAATTAACTTAATTTAACATATTATCTGTAATTTGTGGACATGATCTGTTCTAACAGATTGTATGAGAAGGTTGGAGTAGTAGTCACTCTACTGTGAACGAATTGCCTTGTGTATTGATGAAAAAAAGAAGGTTATAAGCTAGAAAGGAGAGTTTGTTGATGGCTAGGTTTTCTTTTCTTTCCTCTTATAGGGGGACAAGACAAAGTAACAGGTAGATGTAGCAAATAGCTAGCTAGGATATTTAGAGTGATCATAATTAACTAAAACCTAAATGCAAACACTACTTACTAATTAGAATATATATGTAAGGCCACATAAATTTGGGTTTTTTTTTT